CTGAAACGGGAAATCAATTGCGATATATCACAATATGAAATGACAAATAATTCTTATTGACTCGCTTTCCACTCAAAATAGTTTCTGATTTGGCGGTTTAGTGAAATAATGAAATAGAAGGCGATTGAAGGGGGTGGGACACCAGAAGAGAAAATGATCATTCAATTTTTCCTAGCCATTCGGGAAGATGAAACTGTGAGCGAAAATTGTGGGTATAGCGCCTTTAACCGCTGATTACAAACATGAAAAGTTCTTCAAACCAATAGTGCGATTTTTTGCTGTCCAACCTTATTCGTCTTCACTAAACTCAATAAGTTTCACATTGTTTTCGAACAATTGTTTTGAGTTTTTTTTTCATACGTGATCTATATTTAGGACACTTGCGACTTTATGCTACAGTGATCAGGATGGCTTTCAACTGCTTTTACTACTTCTCCACTATTTTTTCGTTCTCTAAAAGCTTGCACTAATGTTTTCGTGCCATTAATGAATCACAAGTTCTGTTATTGATTTCTGCTTAACTTTTTGTTCGATACATTATTCGGTTGCTCACACCGACGATCATATCTCACTGTCCATTTTTGTGTATGTCTTGTCCCTAATCAGTTGAATTAAGTTTGTGTTGGTAAGTAACCACCCTGACCGCTGATTCTCTACAACAATGGTCTACATCAACATGGACATCGTCAAGTCTATCTACTTCCTCCTTCTTTTCATCTGGAGCGCATTTCTGTTTGATACCTATTTCATCGCTTCAATTTAGTTGTGTGACTTTTTCAGTTTGGTTCTCATCATCACTCTCATCCGTGAGACCTTCCCAAAGACGGAGAATGTCAAGAAAGCTGTCGAAGAGTTTGTTCCAGGACCGAACTGTGTCTCATTGGATGTCTCCAAGCTCGAGGACGATCACGGCTTGAAAGCTTTCACTGATTACGACGTTGTCAAGGACACCGCTCAGTTTATCAACTATTAACAAGGTGATTATTTTGTTGCTTTTGGCATGTGCTTATGTACTTTTTAGTTTTAGGTCACACATTTTTAGTTTTAGGTCCCCATTTGAAAATGTGTGTTCTGTAGAAACTTTTGAGATGGAAATCCCAACTGTTCATTCAATACTTTCTGACTAGAAACTCAAACTTGGTTGATTTTCTTCTCATGACAAGCAATTTCTCAGTTCACATTTCTTCTCAGTATTTCTCGTATGTATGAACGTCCATCAAAAGATCCCAATAGCAATCCCTATCCTAAAAATTACAGAGGAATCATCTAACAATGGAAACAAAATTCATGGAACATAACATCTTCTAACTACATATATACATTCTCCTTCAAGTCTTCAACAATTCTCCCCGTCTTCTATTTTACATCTCCTCTACAGTAGCCTGCGGCGCCTTTGTTTTCAATGTGACGCTTGAAATTTCTTCAGAAGCTTCCTATTTTGTACCAACCCCCTCCAGTTTTTATTGATCAGTTCAGATACAATAACCATGTATCCTATTTTCTAACTTACATTAGTATAATTTTAGGACATTGCTAAATTTTTGCTTGAGATGCTTCTAGTTTCACTTAACTCCCTTACTTATTACAGTTTCCAGTTTTTTTTCGGAAAAAGAAATTCCCGTGATTTTCTCGAAAATTAGCGAGAAAGGTTTCTTTTAAAAAAAAACTTTAAAGAAAATCCTCACTGTATACGTTTTAGCTCAATCATTTTTGATTTTTGCAAAAAAATAACGAAATTCTGCGAACTGATGAAAGATAACAGATTTTTGTATTTCTTACAAAATTTTAGATAATTGAGGTCAAATGAATTTTATTGGAGTTTCTTAGATTTCTTCCGATATCTATTTTATCTAGTCTAGACTTTTTTTTCCCTCCGAATATTTCGGATATCACAATTTCTTCCTAACATTTCTCGAACCTGATAATTATAGTTGATAACTTTCAAAGTCTTACTGTTTTTTCTTCCGACCATCTTACAAATTCCATATTCCATTGTATCCCACTTGCACACACAGAAAAATAAAATGTTCCATTTGTTAGCACCCCATCTATTCATTTTTAAACTCAATTGGTCACTATGATCCATATGATACTTCACCGGCTTCTGACTAATCTAATGACCCTCAATTTAAGCAAAAGGTAAGCAATCGGATGGAACCAATTCTCGAAGTCCCCAATGTGTTGCCGGCCTACATCATCTGGACTGTCGTTTTGGTCACTAGTGCACTTATTGGCTGGTTCAGTCAGAAAAACCACGTTTTCAAACGATTCAGAAGATCTGAGAAAGTGGTTGTACCACAAGATTTGGAGACCGGACGAGTGCCGCCAAGAACGTTTATACTCGGTGAGCTCTTAGCAATATTGTGCAGTGACAGTGTTTCTTTCAGGAGGATCACAGTGAGAAATGTGAATGTATTTCCAATTCCGTGATTGACAATTCAGATGCTTCGAAATCATAACTAACAACATTGAGATTGCAAGTTTTGCAGTTTCAGAGTTGTTAGATACGGATTCAATGTCTGTTAGCGGATTCCTACTGCACATCAGCCGACATCAGTCAATTGCTTGGTTCATATCCAGAGGACTACTCGATTTTTCATTTTCTTTTTCGGCTTCTTTGTGTTATCACGTCCTTACGTCCTCACGTTGCTTGTTGTGCACTAATTTCAAATAAAACATTGTCTGTTTAGATGGACTCGTCATCGAGCTTCTTCTTCAACATCCACCCAGTGATCTTCTTTTTTGTTTTCTTGGTCTCGCTTTTTCTGTAAGTTTTAATTTTTCGTTCGTCAGATGATCAATATTATCGATTACAGGATCGGATTCGTTGTTGACTACGTCATGCGCAAGTACGGGTGCTGCGGACGTCCAGGAGGATGCTGTCTTCCAGCTCTCGAGGCACAGAACGACGATACTGGCGTCGGTGGGAATCAAGAACGGATTCCTCTCAACACCTTCCGAAGGAGTGGACAGAATTAATCACCAGGAGCTTCCATCTGTTGTCTTCAGTTAATTTCCATTCATTTTTCCCGTCCACAAAAAACTTCACCATCATCAAAATTGCTTTTCACTATTGTCCAAATTCATGAGCATTTCATCACCAACTCCCAAACTGTTTCCCGAATTTTATTGATCTCATGCACCCGTCAAAAAATTGATGTTGTTTCTTCGATTGTGTCCTCAAGAACAAAACATCCCAAAAATCTCAATTCTTATAATTCTCTCTCCTATGAATCTCTTTTTTCTCACATGTGTTCGTACTAATTTCCTCAAATAAATGGGCGTGGATATTAAAAAAAAACGTAAATCATGCCGGTCTTTTTACAAATGATGATAAAGAGAATGAACATGAAGATGATAAAGGGGTTCCCAGTAATAACAGAAAAGCGAAAGATATATGCCATCCCTTAGCAGTTCTTAGTTTCTTTTTTCTAAGAGTTCTCAAAAAGTTCATCGAATGCAATGTTTCAATTCCTGTTTTACATCCTCCAAAGTTTTGAGAGTGATCGTATATTCTAATGCCAAGCAAATTTTACAGCCGAACACCTGAAAAAACACAGTAATCATTTGTCCGATCTAGATCTAATGCTTCATCTCTCTTTTCTATTTTCCTTGAGTTAAAGTCCTCAAGACACGCCCACTTCTCTTTTTTTCAAAAAAAAAGAGCGGAGCTCTCCATGAAATGGGCGGAGCAAAAAGAGAATATAAAATGCTGCCAGTCCAAGGGAATGCTTCAGTTGTTTTCCAGTTTTGAATGCCCTGGCTTCGTTTTCATCCGTTTTAAAAGTATATTTTCAAAAAATATAAAAGTGAAATTTCAGAAAGACATGAAACTAGGAATTGTTATTCTTCTTGTCTTGGCACTGAATGCTGTCGGAGGCCTAAAGTGTTGGGAGGGCAGGAAGTACAAAGCTGTCGTGACTGCCGCGGAGTTCACCACATGTGTGAAGTACTACGGAAAGTACTACGATGATATTTGGTACGGCGGTGAAAATACCACAGTAGCTAACGGTACCAAAACCGACTGCTGGTTGCATGTAAGTTCCGATGAATGGCCCATACTCCCGGGGTACATCAGAATGGGGTACATCGGGGGTACATCGTGCTCATGGGGTACAAAGTCTCAGAGGGTACATAGTCTCATGGGGTACATTTTAGGTATAATCTCATGGGGTACATTTTTCGCTTTCTCATGGGGTACATCTCTGAAATACTCAGGGGGTACATCGCATTGTCTCAGAGGGTACATCGCATTGAATCTCATGTGGTAAACATCAAGTCGGATTCTACAGTTTCAGCGCTCATAGCTGCCTGATTTTTCCAACATTCGTTACATATTATGAGTGGTTTTTTTTGTTTTCCATGTAGTTATTCAAGAATGTAATTTCGCTTTTGATGTGGTTTGGAACAGAGATAACTGTCCAACATTATTTCTTCTCATTCATAATTCAGAAACATTTGGCTGATTGAAGAAAAATTGCCTATTGCAAGATATTCGGAGATTTCCGATGACCGAGGAGTTAGGCGAAGCAACCAGGTGCCAGCTCAGTCAATCAAAGCTACCACAACGAAACGCTTTACACTTTCAGTGCTCTTGAGAAATGATGAGAAATCGTAAACATAGTGATAAGGAAAACATGTTCTTTATTTTTACCCTAACCGGGCATTGAATCATATAACATGAATTAGTTTCACAAAAAAAATTGGGAGGGCAAAACCACAGGCGTTGAAGAATGGAACTCTGAAACAAGATCGCCTCGCCCAAAACGACATAGAGGACCACAAATCAACGTGAAGACGATTCGCTGGATTTCTGAAAATTGGAAGACTCGAAGAACCTCTTCAGTAACTAAAAATGATTTTTTTTTTCATTTTTGCCCTCCCAATTTTTTTTGTGAAACTAATTCATGTTATATGATTTAATGCCCGGTTAGGGTAAAAATAAAGAACATGTTTTCCTTATCACTATGTTTACGATTTCTCATCATTTCTCAAGAGCACTGAAAGTGTAAAACGTTTCGTTGTGGTAGCTTTGATTGACTGAGCTGGCACCTGGTTGCTTCGTCTAACTCCTCGGTCATCGGAAATCTCCGAATATCTTGCAATAGGCAATTTTTCTTCAATCAGCCAAATGTTTCTGAATTATGAATGAGAAGAAATAATGTTGGACAGTTATCTCTGTTCCAAACCACATCAAAAGCGAAATTACATTCTTGAATAACTACATGGAAAACAAAAAAAAAACCACTCATAATATGTAACGAATGTTGGAAAAATCAGGCAGCTATGAGCGCTGAAACTGTAGAATCCGACTTGATGTTTACCACATGAGATTCAATGCGATGTACCCTCTGAGACAATGCGATGTACCCCCTGAGTATTTCAGAGATGTACCCCATGAGAAAGCGAAAAATGTACCCCATGAGATTATACCTAAAATGTACCCCATGAGACTATGTACCCTCTGAGACTTTGTACCCCATGAGCACGATGTACCCCCGATGTACCCCATTCTGATGTACCCCGGGAGTATGGGCCATTCATCGGAACTTACATGCAACCAGCAGTCGGTTTTGGTACCGTTAGCTACTGTGGTATTTTC